GTTCGTTCTTCGGAAACTTGGGATGCTCATTAAAACCTGGCAATGACTAATGGCCCGCAATTTAGAATTAAAATTAATATATATTTAGACTCGAACTGAACCGTTCACCTTTGATGTGGGTATATGTTATTTCTATATAGTGTATAAGACGTTTCCTAAAGTGACGATAATCGATTATATTGCTATGTCCGCTTTCGTCACCGTGCATTACTGTAAATAATTAATAAACATACATAAAATCAATATTTTATTAGAATATAAATTAATAAAAAAGTAGGTAGGTATTGATATAAAAATAAAAATAAAAATATTTCTATTTTTATTCAATACCTATATAATAATGTACTCTTTAAAAGGTATCTAAAGGTCTCTTGTTTTTTCCACATTATGTTACCACCAAGAATATGTTTCTAAAACATTGATGCATAGACATATAACCATAACATTACAAGTTGGTAGTTACTAGTTACTGTCTAGTTAACTAATCTGCTACAAGCGCTCAAAGTTTAATTGAAATGAGAAGTACAGAACATGAGTTGGTTAACCTCCACACATATCAACCATGTCGTCGTTGAGGTTTAAACTTTAAACTCTTACAGTGTTATTCATAGTCAAATTGGACCTGGTTTAACATTGGTTTATTATTAGTTTAACAATAGTTTATCTTTTTTGTTATTCATAGACGATAAACTTTATTTAGACCATAGACTAAGTTTAACGATAAACCTTTGATTTATAAACTAGGTAAATACTAGGTTTAAAGTTGGTTTATTATAAAAATCTCTGTTATCTTAATAATATGTAATATGTATTATCATTTAATTTAATTCATTCGTGTTTTAAAAACTTGTGCGTTTTATACTTACGAAAAATGGATATCGGTAATGTACAAAATGTTAGACGCGTAAGAAATTTAACAAATGTGCATTTTATTAGACAGAGGAAAATATATAAGATTCGTAAAAATCCTTACATCGAACTTACTAATAATGAATTTCGTAAAAAGTATCGATTTTCAAAAGCAGAATGCTTACAAATCGTAAACGAAATTCGTGACTTTTTACCTCGAGCAGTTAACAATCGCGGAAAACCAATTTCGCCGAGCTTACAATTTTTGATTGCACTTCGTTATTTAGCTAGAGGACAAGTAATTATTGATTATGTTTTAATGTTTATAGTAATAGTTCATTTATGAATTTAAAACAAATTAAAGTACCTATATTATTATAATTTAAGGTTCAGGACGACAATGGAGACTTACATGGTGTTAGTCAACCGACAGTTAGTCGATGTTTGAGTCAAATTTGTAGAGCACTAGCATCATTAAAAAATAATTATATTAAGTTTCCATTGACCAATGAAGAGTTAGCTTCTAAAAAGGCAGATTTTCGTAGAAAATTTAATATGCCTTCGATAATTGGTGCGATAGATTGTACACATATACCGGATATACGGATCAAAAAGGTGGCGGGTGACTACGCTCAATTGTACATTAATAGAAAAGGCTTTTATTCAATAAATGTTCAAGTAAGCCATATAACATGTATTTTATTAAAATAGTCAAATTTATAAAATATAAAGTTAAAATCTTGTTAAAATTATATTTAATACTTATAAATAATAATTAATAATTAATAATTTAGGTAATTTGTGATGCAAATTGTCATATATTGCATGTAATTGCTCGTTGGAGAGGAAGTGCACACGATTCAAGGATTTGGAACGAAAGTCTTATCAAGGAACAATTTGAAAATGGATCAATAAATGGTATCTTACTTGGTGATAGTGGTTATGCTTGTACTCCATATATGTTAACACCAATTCTTAATCCTCAAAACGATGTGGAGCGACAATAAAATTACACACACATCAGAGCAAGAAACACAATAGAGAGATTATTTGGACAAATCAAGCAACGTTTTCGCTGTCTATTGCGAGGAATGACCATAAGCCTCGAGAACGCTAAAGTTGCTATACAGTGGCGCCGAACCCATGTATTAGGTGTGGCAGCCGCCACACCTATTTTAAGGGGTGGGTGTACAACCAAAATTGGTGGATAATCGTAATCCTAAGTGTAAAAAGATATTGTACAAAATACTACAAATATAAGAAAGATGACTTCCTAGTGTGTCGCAGCGTGCAGTGTGTACTGTGTGATAACATTAGAAATAGCCAATAACTAATAATTTAATTAATAGTTTTACCATTAAAACATAAATTCTATTTTCAAATTTCTACTTCAGCATCTTGTCTGATAGGGAAGTGAATCAAGTTGATACTTTGTTGAGTCAAAAATCAAAAGTAAAAAATTCCCAGTAATTTTCAAAAGCGTCGTGAAAAACAAAAAAAAAAATAACAAATATAAAAGTAATTTTTATACAAAACCAGTTATCGACAAAATCGATTGTGTTTTCTGTTGTAACTCAAAAATGACTAACCGTAAAAACTTTATATTTTAACAAAATTTTTATATAATATATAAGAATTTTCCTGAAAGATATTTCCTACAAGATATTCAAAATATATAGACTCTTTTTGAGCATTAAACATTTTTATTTTTAATTATCATCGATAAATAATTTTCTCTCTCGGTCAATCTGAACACAAATCCACAGTATATTATTTTCAATATGGGTCTAAAGTTGAAACTTAAACAAAATTCATTTAAAATTAAGAAAATTAAAAAATTTTCGACTGTCTACCAAAGAAAAGTTAAAAGAAAACCTTACCAGAAAGTCACATTAATTTGTGTTGAGACTTAACTAGATAAATGTATGTATAAAATGTATGCTGTATGATGTCAAAAAATCATTGGGGGTAAAATAAATGTTACCCCCTCTCGCGCTGGTGATGTTCTAAAGTCAAAAACTTTTTTTCTAATTCAAACTTTTCTTTTTGTATTTTTAATAAATTTGCTTCGTATTCAGTCATTTGTATATCTAAATTATTTCCGTTAAATCCTTGATTTTTTTTTTTTTGTACCTAATACAAATACAAATTCTAATATAAAGGTATGTTACTACTTAGTACTTACTAAGAACAGTACCCCCATATGATTTCAGTACTTATACGTTTATACGTATTTATATCGTTCTATGGTGCGTCACTATTGATTTAACAATTAATTATAATATAATATATAATATATAGTATTACTTTTATATATATAATATATTAAATATTTGATATTATTTTTTGTGATATTTAATTAAATCATATAAAAAATAAATTACTAATAGCAATACAACTTTATTATATATTTATATAACATAATTAGGTAGCATTATATGATAGTAAAAGACATTACTTTTTTGGTCTGGTTATTTGTAGTAGGTGAATAATTGTATTCATTTTCATCTACTTCCTCAAGATCAGGTCTTATCATTGAACAACTTTGATTATTTTTTTGAAGGTCTTCATCGTGTATCAATACGTCATGATCAATGATTATGTGCTTTAAATTTAAATATAACTTATTAACAAATAAATAGTTTAAATTAACATAAAATTAGCTTATACATCTTCAAAATCATTTCTTTGTAAAAACTCATCTAAGCTTTCAGCACATATTTGTATACCGGTATTTGAAGTCGCTGTCGATGATGCAGGTGACTCTTTTTCTAATATTTTGAAATCATTTGTTACAGTTTTGTTTATGCCAATCTAAATAAGAAAAAAAATAATAATCATAGTTAAAAAGAATAACAAAGTCAATAATATTATTAAAAACACTACTATTATTACGATCACTACTTTTTTTTTAACAACATTAAAGTAAAATATTTAAAATGTCTATAAATAGCTCAGAAAAAAAATACAAAAAACACATAATTACAATTATTATAAAAATTATAAATACTATACCTTTTTAGTTGAGCCGTCATTGTCACAGTCAAAATCGTTTGCATCTTTAATAAAGTCCATTGGCATTAAAGACTGCAATGTCATGTCTAATTTGTTTATTGATTCTGGTGGAGGACCTCCTCCAGTTTGTTTTAAATTTTGTTTATATGACGAAACATTTTTTTTGGCAACTATTTTCATTCTTTTCCATTCGCCTTTAATTTGTAGTAATGTTCTTTGAGTTTTTGAATTACCATTATATTCTTTATAAATTTGTGACCACGCTTCTAGTTTTGACTTATTCGTATTTGTGTCACAATTTTTATTTTCAATCACTTTGATAAATTTTGTGACGATTTCAGTTAGTAGCTCTTTCTCTCCACTTTCCCAATTAACCCTTTTTTGTTTATCCATTTTAAAATGGAATCACGCAATTTAAATTATAATTTTAAATAATTAAATACCACTAATAAACTCAAAAATAGAACACGAAACTAAAAATAAATTCATATAGGTAATCTAAAAATATTTTACCACAATTCATAAAATATAACGATAACAATGACATGAAAAAAAAAGCACCTGGAAAAACTGTAACGTTCGCATTAAAATAATAGAACATAGAATGTATTTTTACCTTATTTTTTTTTTAGATTGGCAACAATTAGTAATAATATGGAAATTTGGGTGGCTCTATAGCTGTTTATAATAAACCAAAGATAATCCACAGTTTTTCAAAACTTAGCCTAGACCATTGACTATGTTGACTATGAATAATACATTATTAAACCCAAGTTTAACCAAGGTCTAAGAATTAAACCAAGTTTATTCAAACTTAGGTTAAACCTTGGTTTTTGACGATGACTATGAATAACACTGTTACAGTGTTATTCATAGTCAAATTGGACCTGGTTTAACATTGGTTTATTATTAGTTTAACAATAGTTTATCTTTTTTGTTATTCATAGACGATAAACTTTATTTAGACCATAGACTAAGTTTAACGATAAACCTTTGATTTATAAACTAGGTAAATACTAGGTTTAAAGTTGGTTTATTATAAAAATCTCTGTTATCTTAATAATATGTAATATGTATTATCATTTAATTTAATTCATTCGTGTTTTAAAAACTTGTGCGTTTTATACTTACGAAAAATGGATATCGGTAATGTACAAAATGTTAGACGCGTAAGAAATTTAACAAATGTGCATTTTATTAGACAGAGGAAAATATATAAGATTCGTAAAAATCCTTACATCGAACTTACTAATAATGAATTTCGTAAAAAGTATCGATTTTCAAAAGCAGAATGCTTACAAATCGTAAACGAAATTCGTGACTTTTTACCTCGAGCAGTTAACAATCGCGGAAAACCAATTTCGCCGAGCTTACAATTTTTGATTGCACTTCGTTATTTAGCTAGAGGACAAGTAATTATTGATTATGTTTTAATGTTTATAGTAATAGTTCATTTATGAATTTAAAACAAATTAAAGTACCTATATTATTATAATTTAAGGTTCAGGACGACAATGGAGACTTACATGGTGTTAGTCAACCGACAGTTAGTCGATGTTTGAGTCAAATTTGTAGAGCACTAGCATCATTAAAAAATAATTATATTAAGTTTCCATTGACCAATGAAGAGTTAGCTTCTAAAAAGGCAGATTTTCGTAGAAAATTTAATATGCCTTCGATAATTGGTGCGATAGATTGTACACATATACCGGATATACGGATCAAAAAGGTGGCGGGTGACTACGCTCAATTGTACATTAATAGAAAAGGCTTTTATTCAATAAATGTTCAAGTAAGCCATATAACATGTATTTTATTAAAATAGTCAAATTTATAAAATATAAAGTTAAAATCTTGTTAAAATTATATTTAATACTTATAAATAATAATTAATAATTAATAATTTAGGTAATTTGTGATGCAAATTGTCATATATTGCATGTAATTGCTCGTTGGAGAGGAAGTGCACACGATTCAAGGATTTGGAACGAAAGTCTTATCAAGGAACAATTTGAAAATGGATCAATAAATGGTATCTTACTTGGTGATAGTGGTTATGCTTGTACTCCATATATGTTAACACCAATTCTTAATCCTCAAAACGATGTGGAGCGACAATAAAATTACACACACATCAGAGCAAGAAACACAATAGAGAGATTATTTGGACAAATCAAGCAACGTTTTCGCTGTCTATTGCGAGGAATGACCATAAGCCTCGAGAACGCTAAAGTTGCTATACAGTGGCGCCGAACCCATGTATTAGGTGTGGCAGCCGCCACACCTATTTTAAGGGGTGGGTGTACAACCAAAATTGGTGGATAATCGTAATCCTAAGTGTAAAAAGATATTGTACAAAATACTACAAATATAAGAAAGATGACTTCCTAGTGTGTCGCAGCGTGCAGTGTGTACTGTGTGATAACATTAGAAATAGCCAATAACTAATAATTTAATTAATAGTTTTACCATTAAAACATAAATTCTATTTTCAAATTTCTACTTCAGCATCTTGTCTGATAGGGAAGTGAATCAAGTTGATACTTTGTTGAGTCAAAAATCAAAAGTAAAAAATTCCCAGTAATTTTCAAAAGCGTCGTGAAAAACAAAAAAAAAAATAACAAATATAAAAGTAATTTTTATACAAAACCAGTTATCGACAAAATCGATTGTGTTTTCTGTTGTAACTCAAAAATGACTAACCGTAAAAACTTTATATTTTAACAAAATTTTTATATAATATATAAGAATTTTCCTGAAAGATATTTCCTACAAGATATTCAAAATATATAGACTCTTTTTGAGCATTAAACATTTTTATTTTTAATTATCATCGATAAATAATTTTCTCTCTCGGTCAATCTGAACACAAATCCACAGTATATTATTTTCAATATGGGTCTAAAGTTGAAACTTAAACAAAATTCATTTAAAATTAAGAAAATTAAAAAATTTTCGACTGTCTACCAAAGAAAAGTTAAAAGAAAACCTTACCAGAAAGTCACATTAATTTGTGTTGAGACTTAACTAGATAAATGTATGTATAAAATGTATGCTGTATGATGTCAAAAAATCATTGGGGGTAAAATAAATGTTACCCCCTCTCGCGCTGGTGATGTTCTAAAGTCAAAAACTTTTTTTCTAATTCAAACTTTTCTTTTTGTATTTTTAATAAATTTGCTTCGTATTCAGTCATTTGTATATCTAAATTATTTCCGTTAAATCCTTGATTTTTTTTTTTTTGTACCTAATACAAATACAAATTCTAATATAAAGGTATGTTACTACTTAGTACTTACTAAGAACAGTACCCCCATATGATTTCAGTACTTATACGTTTATACGTATTTATATCGTTCTATGGTGCGTCACTATTGATTTAACAATTAATTATAATATAATATATAATATATAGTATTACTTTTATATATATAATATATTAAATATTTGATATTATTTTTTGTGATATTTAATTAAATCATATAAAAAATAAATTACTAATAGCAATACAACTTTATTATATATTTATATAACATAATTAGGTAGCATTATATGATAGTAAAAGACATTACTTTTTTGGTCTGGTTATTTGTAGTAGGTGAATAATTGTATTCATTTTCATCTACTTCCTCAAGATCAGGTCTTATCATTGAACAACTTTGATTATTTTTTTGAAGGTCTTCATCGTGTATCAATACGTCATGATCAATGATTATGTGCTTTAAATTTAAATATAACTTATTAACAAATAAATAGTTTAAATTAACATAAAATTAGCTTATACATCTTCAAAATCATTTCTTTGTAAAAACTCATCTAAGCTTTCAGCACATATTTGTATACCGGTATTTGAAGTCGCTGTCGATGATGCAGGTGACTCTTTTTCTAATATTTTGAAATCATTTGTTACAGTTTTGTTTATGCCAATCTAAATAAGAAAAAAAATAATAATCATAGTTAAAAAGAATAACAAAGTCAATAATATTATTAAAAACACTACTATTATTACGATCACTACTTTTTTTTTAACAACATTAAAGTAAAATATTTAAAATGTCTATAAATAGCTCAGAAAAAAAATACAAAAAACACATAATTACAATTATTATAAAAATTATAAATACTATACCTTTTTAGTTGAGCCGTCATTGTCACAGTCAAAATCGTTTGCATCTTTAATAAAGTCCATTGGCATTAAAGACTGCAATGTCATGTCTAATTTGTTTATTGATTCTGGTGGAGGACCTCCTCCAGTTTGTTTTAAATTTTGTTTATATGACGAAACATTTTTTTTGGCAACTATTTTCATTCTTTTCCATTCGCCTTTAATTTGTAGTAATGTTCTTTGAGTTTTTGAATTACCATTATATTCTTTATAAATTTGTGACCACGCTTCTAGTTTTGACTTATTCGTATTTGTGTCACAATTTTTATTTTCAATCACTTTGATAAATTTTGTGACGATTTCAGTTAGTAGCTCTTTCTCTCCACTTTCCCAATTAACCCTTTTTTGTTTATCCATTTTAAAATGGAATCACGCAATTTAAATTATAATTTTAAATAATTAAATACCACTAATAAACTCAAAAATAGAACACGAAACTAAAAATAAATTCATATAGGTAATCTAAAAATATTTTACCACAATTCATAAAATATAACGATAACAATGACATGAAAAAAAAAGCACCTGGAAAAACTGTAACGTTCGCATTAAAATAATAGAACATAGAATGTATTTTTACCTTATTTTTTTTTTAGATTGGCAACAATTAGTAATAATATGGAAATTTGGGTGGCTCTATAGCTGTTTATAATAAACCAAAGATAATCCACAGTTTTTCAAAACTTAGCCTAGACCATTGACTATGTTGACTATGAATAATACATTATTAAACCCAAGTTTAACCAAGGTCTAAGAATTAAACCAAGTTTATTCAAACTTAGGTTAAACCTTGGTTTTTGACGATGACTATGAATAACACTGTTATAGTTAGCTAGTTCTATAATATTATATATGTGTTTACTCACAGATATATCAAGTTATCAAACATTACAATTTGGCGAAAAGAGTAAAACAAAATTTTAATCATTTATTTTATTAAAGTAAGTAAAGTTAAATTAAAAATTGTGTTCACATTTTCGGACAATAAATTATATTACGTCCTACAATATTATACATATTATATCTATATCGTTTATTAATTTTGTTCTATATAAAACTACCTGTTAGAATAATTAATAATTAGTCATAAATCATAATAAATAATGTGTTTTTCCATAGATTTATACATACATATTATATAGTTACAATATATTAATAAAGTTTTAAATGTTCACATGGATAAATAGTATTCTGGAAGATTAGAATTGACTGTTATAACTTAAGACCAGGTCGATGTCCTAAAACACTAATTTTCTATATAAATATATAAATTAATGTAATACAATTTTAAATTTTTATATATATTTTTCTGTGCTCGTTTTTTGTATTTAAATCAAATTTACTTGTCAGGGTTATTATTAACAGATACGATTATAAGGTTATAAGATTCCAAACAACATTGTATTCAAGGATTAAAGAATTCTATTGATTATTGTAGAGCTTCTTGAATACTTAGGGAATACTGCATATTCTTAATATCAAATTTCATATTAAGTAACACTTAGATTATACTTAGTCGCATGAATTAGTATATTATAATATTATGTACAGCAGTGCCTACTATAATTCTATAAAATAAATTGACACGTTACATAAGGGCGGACAGTTGTTTTAGCCAAAATATACCAATATTTCTTTCATCATACTGATCAAGATAGTGATGCGATAACAGTAATTTAAAATCGATCTGGATTCATTATTATGTTTACTTGAGATCGGTCAGTCCCCTTTTCTCAATTTAACCCTCAAAACAACATCATTCTGATACTATACTATACATTTAGTTTGAATATTTTGAAATTTCGGAATTTTCAAACGTTGATTATTCAGGATTTAAATCAGAAATCTTAAAATGTGGACTGACCTATCTCAAGTAGACATTATAGCAAATTCAGATCTGTTCTGAAATATTATCGCATTATTAGGTCGATGGGTAGGGTGAAACAAAATCACATACAATTGGCCATAAATTATTTACCGTTCACACTCGAAACTCTGAATCAGTGACTTGTACCTATATGCGTGTGCGGGAGAGCTCTGCTATTTCTTTTACACATAGTCACACACACACTATAAATTACTTACCACGCACACATTTATATAAGAACAGCATACATGACATTTTAAAATTGCCTATTTCGAACTCCTTAAATACTGTCCTCCATCGATCCCAATAATATTTATTTTTATTTTCTATACGTCTACCAATAACATAGTTATAATATTTTATTTTGTTTATTACTATTGTTATTATTCCCTATTTTTTTTTTAAAAACATATTTACATAAACCTCGTACCTCACGAACTCATGAGTTTTCTGATTTATGACTTTCAGACCTGAATGTTATGTCTGACACATTCCAACAGACAACCCTTCGTCCGGAGAACCCCAGAGAAATTCAAACTTACACTCAAGAAACCATTTTTTAGTGCAAAAGTATTTTATCTTCGTACACGTCGTTATTGCAAACATTCTGCCAACTCCAAAACAGACGTATTATATTTCGTCAAAAAATAATTTCATCGTTTTAACCCAAAAGTTTTACGCATATGTAAATAATTGTATTATATTAAATTACAGTATTCAAAATTCAAATATTACAAATAAATAATAATATATAATTATTATTCTGTCAATTTACGGTAAAATATACATATATTAAAATGCATTTTTTTTTTTGTAAAACTATAATTAAATTTCATATTTTCATCTATTGTTGTCATTCGTCGAATTTGTTTAAATTGTTATACAATTTGCACGATTATTTGGGTGCTTAAAATTGTTTTTACTATTTGTAAAAAATCCTCACGGCGTGCCCTACGTAAATTCGGCTAGTCCGACGATTTCTATTCTGATCATGCTGTTCCGTCCCAATACGATGTGACTGATGCGACAAAATACAAACTGTTTTGTTTTTCGTTGCATTTGTAGAATTCACGTAGGACACTGTGAGTG